TAAGCATTTCAATTATAACGAGTGAGATTCTCTGCCTGATAATAAATAACGCGGAAATAGATTGCATGATTACCGTAGGCTGCCGTAAAGGAGGTAATAAGGTTTTGCTTTACTGGCGTTTTTCTTCAAGAAGGAAATAAAAGGCGGGTTTGGTTTTGTCAATATCATTACATGGTTAAAGTTGTCACGTCAGGTATTAAGAAAAGAAGTCAATTTCGATAAGTTTTAGCTTTTAGGTCTATGTAGCAGTAGTACAACTGTGGTGGATTACAGTAGAATCACTTGTAGGCTCTGGTTAATTTCTTACTTTAATAATATTCATTTAATAATTCTTAATTTTATTTATTTATTTATTTATTTATTTATTTATTTATTTATTTATTTATTTGTGTGCAACAACTTAATTTATATCGGAATTTGAATAGTATATATCCCCAGTATAAATAATTCGTATTTCGAAACCAAATTATTTTTTTAAGATACGTACTGGGAATGGCATTTGTAATATTATACTTTTTGTAAAAATTATTTATCATTTTAAATGTGTGATATTCTATCAGTCATCAAATTTTACTTTTTAAAAAGAAATGTCACTAAGGGCCCATTTCCGATGAAACTATTTTACGTAGATCGATCTAACTCGACGTGAACTCTCGCAGAATACAATCAGTTTGACAGATTAACACGTCTCCTCTTGTTTCCAACGTACTTGTATAATCATTAGCTTCTCTACATTCTACTCATCGTCGGGAGGAGGGGGGGGGTTGGATATATCTACTTAAAACGAAAGATTCATTGGGAATGGACCACAGGAGTATTACCTTGGCAAACCACTATTATAACAATTAGTAGTACCTGTAAATTATAGAAATCCAGAATTAATTTATTGTTGATGATAGTCAATTAAACAGATTTTGTCCATGAAACAGACAGCCAGACGAGAATCCGTGACCCCCACCGCCCCCACCCGCCGCTTCGCCTCATTGTCCGTCACGCTCGTAGGCACTCTATTGCATCATATATATATATCGTCGGCGGGCAACGTCCGCAACAACTCGTTGCCCATTATCTTGGTATTGAACAGGTAATAAGTGTCTACAAACACGTGCACGTCATGTGAACTAGACCATGTAAGAAGAAAATCTTTGTTGTCCACCCGTGCGGGAAATCTGTGCAAGATGTTGGGTCCGAATGTACATCCATGGATGACGTCACTGATGACGTCACTGCTGGCGCAGATATAGGGACTTTTCTACAGACCACCTCTTGTATACGGCAAGCTTTTTTTTTAGAACTTAACACGTCCAAATTCAATGATTTTGATGACTTCAAAGTTTCGCCTATGCATTTCACGTATATACATTGTGAAAACATGTACCAGTCATTTTGACTCAGAAAACGGTCCGTGTTTTGGGCATGCCAAATCCAAAAAAGCTCCCCGTCTCTGCGTCATCAGTGACGTTACTTCATAGATGTATTTTCGGAACGGCCTCATTTTTCAAACGTAAGCATTAAAGGGTTATGATTGTATCTTATATTGATGAGTTTTCTTTCTGATGTATTTGTGTTTTTTTTTCGCGTTTTGAGACTTATAAATGCTCAAGCTATATAAATGAGACCCTGCTAGCGTTGCTACCCTTTTGAAGAAACAGCCAGATCAGGCACCGTGTTGTAAGCTGTTATTGATGTCCGACATACCCCAGGTGACGTTGAATCTAGTGTTTTTGCCATAGTAACATAGCTACATGTACCTGTACCCACATTTCGTATTACATACAATTTAGTGATACCAATATACAAAGGCATTACTCCCTTGTTGTGTACCGGTACGACTTGCACCATGTTATCTCTGTTAATTTGTATCTCATTACGTACCAAGTAGTACGTACAGATCTAAAGACCAGTTATCATTAAAACCTCTATGCGCAAGGCTAAAACATTTGGGGAACATTTTGAATACACGGCCCCGTATGAATTGAAGCAGTTGCCGTCAGAAGTACGGGATATAAGCTCAGCTGATGATTAAAAAACACTGAATACAATTTTTTTTTTTAATAATGATTGAGCATTTTATACTTCACAGAACAACATAATTGGACACGTTTCTTTTTACTTTTAATACCATTACTTTTTATTTAAAAATAATCTTTTGAATTTTGTATTTTATTTGCAAAGTCCACAGAACAAATTTCGTTAGATGTTACACTTAAAATAAATATTTTATTATTTTATTATTAATGAACATTTGGTCATGTAAATAATAATAATAATAATAATAATAATAATAATAATATACAATTATTGACTTGGGTGCGGTCGTACCGACGATCGACTGACCCGAAGCTGGGATAATTGACCGACAGTAAAGGCCGGGATAGAACTGGCAAAAGAATATAAATAAAGGTCTCATTATATCCAAGCACTTTAGCTCTCCAAGCAGCCCAAACAACGATCTGTCTCGCGGAAGGCAGAATGTTGTAGAATGGTCGCCACTGGTCGTCGATGCTGCTACAGAGAAGCTAAAGAGAATGCTGTGAGACGCGGTTTTCTTGCTATGGCGATCATTCAGCGTCCTGGCCACATTTTGATCGTAGAAGGGACGCACAAAGGTCGCCTTCAAGTGTAAAGGGGACTAAAATTGATTTTACAACTTCCTTAATATCATGGATATTCATGAAAGGACACACGAAACACGATGAATGAAGATACTAGGAGGCTTGTGTATGCGGTACAACTCCTGTGGTTCAGTATTAAAATAACTTTTACTCAGATTTTGCGGTCGTGCAGCTTGTTTTCTTTACCGACAATATACCCCCTTTCGTCTTTTCTTTCTCTCTCTCTCTCTCTCTCTCTCTCTCTCTCTCTCTCATATTGGCTCTCTCATTTCCCGTCCTCTCTCCGTCCCCTCCCTCTCTCTTCATATACCGGTACTCGTACATGTACATGTATTCACACCATAACCAAACGGTTCATGTGCACAGCATGAATTCTTCATGAAGCTGAACTTGAATATTAGTGTGAACCACAGTTTATAGGGTCACATGCGTTATTTCGCAGCTTCATTAAATATTCACAATACATCTTGCTGCTGATTTAATTAGTTAAGTAATTAATCAAATTAATTAATTAATTTATAACAATAATAATTCATCAACAAATTTATAAATAACTTCAAATTAATTAATTAATTAATTGATTTGATTTCAGCCATTGATTTATACGAATGTGACGGTTTATGATCAGTGAATGAATTCACGTGGTAGTAGAACGTCAGTCCATGCATAACAATGCTCCCTCTTAAGATGTAGCTGGCATTCTGTGTTCCTTAATTATATGATCATGCTTGGATGCAATATGGCAGATTACGGTATAATTATATGATATAGGACATTTAGTTCAAAATACAGGATAACACATGTAACAATACTTGTAGGTCAGCATGCACGTGCCTGAGGTATAAAAATAAGACTTTATGAACATCATTATTCACCGATAGTTCGTCCAAACTTTTACACGCAAACTTGAGTTAGATCCAGGATAAGTTACTTCAATATCTGTATACCAATTAAATGAACATTATTCGTATTTTGTAATATACAGTAGAAATGGACATTGTTTTAGAACAACAGTATAACCCGTTTTCTGTTGATTGATTAATTTTTCCCCGATTTGAAGCTCACTTCATGTAGACCGAAATTTCGGTCTTAAAATGAAGGCCATGCACTTTCCATTGTAAAGCGATTTTGTGAAGCAGCCGCTCCACGTGACACATTGGGAGCGTTTGTTGCTATATGTCGTTACGCTCACTTTAACTCCCCTCAAGAAAAATGGGATATTTGAGGTAAGAACCCCACCCGTGCGTGGTGCCCTTAACGGACAATTTGGCCCCTGATGTGTGTAATAATTATACCGTTAGTGAAGAATCGCGGAAGAGTCTGGGCATATCTCGGTAGATTACTATATCAAGGGGATGTATTTGGAGAACATAACAAGACAATCACATCCCTCGATTACGGAAGTGTGGCCCTAACGACATGTAGTTACCGGTGTATTGTGCGGCAGTGTTCGTGTAGTACTTATCAGAGCGGTTAGACCCCACTCCCATAAACACCATCGATCTACGTTGATCGATCCAACCCTGAGGGGACTCTCGCTGAATACAGTTTTACAGATAAACACGCCTCCTTGCATGAGTAGAATACAGAAAAGCTGGTGGTTATACGAGTGCGTTGGTAACAAGAGGAGGTGTGCCATTCAGGTAAGCTGATTGCACTCAGAAAGAGCCCCTGCAGATATGGATCGATTTACGTTGACCGGTGGTGTCTTTGTGAATGGGGTCTAAGACTTGAAATGTGACGTTCAGAAACGCACAAAAGCAGCTACTCCTTGTCGAGAAGGGGGCGGGCAGGGAATCACTGTATGATAATTGATTATTTCGTGTATTCTGTCTACATTTTTGTGTCTTATCGTCATTCGTTCTGTAATTTACTGTTATTATAGGTGCACGTATCTCGTTTGTACATTTGTAAAGGTAACACTTACTGGTCTTAGAGCGTGATGGATTATTATAAATTTACAGAAATGACTAAGGTTTGACCGGGGCATGCATATAAGATGCTTTTTAGAATCGAAGAATTTAAGGTCTCCAAATGAATCACTTTGAGCAGTTATCAGTTGAGTGTTTGGCGACCATGCCAATATCCAACTTTTCATCACAACAGATGAATGCTGGTTCGTGTAAGTCCTGCATGTGAGAACACAGTCTTGGGTAAAGGTTATTATAAATTTGCACTACTGGTGTGACAGGAAAGGAAGTCCTAGGAAAGTAAGTCCGGGGCGCCATATAATTAAAACAGGCTAGGGTTAGCCGCAATATTAAGGCTGTTATATGGTATATGGGACGAATGTCATATTGCTAAGTAACGGACTGCGGTTCCTAGCGGAGTACCACTCTTGTCACACCGGCATGGTATTACGACATTTAATTTACTACAACAGTTGCTGCACTTTATGCATAAATATTGCACACGAAATACGAAAAGTTAAGAGTTAACTTGAATTTCATTTCATTAGCAGACACAGGCAAATCTACCGCTCAGAAACAACATGGCCTCGGCCCGATCCAAGGGCCGAATAGACACCGGTCACCTGCCTGCTGGGACATACCATCCAGGGCTGGAGCAGAGAAATCGGAATAATGGGATGAGGGTCGTTCTCGCGACGCCGGAGCCAAGAAGACGGTTCGACATCCAGACCCATCTGCCTTCTGTGTTTTCGGTGTGCGTCTATGTGCTCCTGGTGGCGTCCTTGCTGACCGAGAAATGGTTCGCCTTCGCTGCGGATCATGTCGATGAGGAGTTTACTGGATGGGAGGTTTTGGCAAGGATGTCAGGTGAACAAATTAAGCTCGTGATTTTTTATCCAGTATTTTTCTGCTGAAATTCATTGTTTACCTGTCTTTTTGTCTTTTTTCACGTATACGTTTTTCTGTTTTGTTTTCTTTCGATACGTCCGTTCTTATCGAAACTATATACCAATGAAAAATATAGGTTTACTGCACCAAAATAAAATAAAATAAAATAAAATAAAATAAAATAAAATAATAATAATAATAAAAAGAAAAGAAACTCTCCAGATTTTTTATTAGTGTATTTCCGCAATGCCAGTTTAAATATTTTGCATTTCTTCTTTATATTTCGAAATTTTCCCCGTAAGTTATTTTCTTGTATATCAGTAATCTATACTGCGCTTGTGGTAATACAGCACAGTTTATCAGAATCACCGCTCATTCATCTGCAAAACTTTACAATATTTAAACACGAAATGCTACAAACATGATCAATATTTCACATGTTATGTCTTCGTGTGAGTCTGCTTATTTGGAAGCGCGCTAATATTCAGGTTATGACAGCCTTATCTAACCGACCTTGTGATGACGAATTTATAACATGTCCGATGTAATCCTTCTGCTGTTCGCTGCCACCATCGTGACGGCACATTATTAATTTGATAATGTAATCCAAGTTCACAACTCTGATGTAGTTTCATCTTCTAGTTCTGGGTCGCCTGGTTGTAATGCCTCTTTTTTTTCCTCTCACAATTTCAGATGTTTAAAAATAATGAATAAAACATGAAATAAATGCAAGAAAATTGAAATAAAAACAAGCAATTCACTGACATAACTAACGCAAACACTTGAGAAGAATTCTACACTGTATCACTATTAGTGTACATCTACAGCACAAACGTTTGCAGAACTACAGTGTAGAATCGAGCATAGTACGCACTGTCTTGTCGACACATTTAAATGCATGTGCATGTACGTTTCTTTATTTATACATAGCACGCTTGATCAACTTCCACGCCTTGCTGGTTCTGCTGATGATGTTGCGTGTGACCATGACCTTAATAAGTTCAAGGATACGAATACCGTTCTGGATCCCTCTGGACAAACACATCAAGTACCACAAGGTGGCGGGCATGGTGCTGTTAGTCTGCAGTCTACTGCATACTGTTGGACATATTGGCAACGCAGGTAATTATCCTAAATACTTCTAGTCATCAGGAACCGGATTGGCAGGAATGACACTACTGAGATTAGTTGTCCTAGGGGTGGAAAGCCCGGGTCCCATATGATAATTAAGCACAGCTAGGTTATACTGTTCAAGATACCAACTGTGTGATGTTATTTAATCTCTTCCAATTTTTTAAATAGCAGGCATTAGCCAGAGATATCTTTAATGTGAAAATTGGGTGAAGGGCCAATTTGTGGCCTTGGTAGAAAGTAAGTTTAGCTTAGGGTTACCATACACGGGTCGGTATATGGGTCAAATGTCACCTGTACAAACTCAAAGGAAGCAGACTACGGTTACTTCGGGACAATCTATTCATTTTTGCAGTTACCCCTTCCTTAACTCACGTGTTTTGAGGACGTCATTTTGTGCAATTTAAATAATGTCAGAAACAATAATAAGAAACCCAAAAAGTATTTTCATAATGTTCTTAACCATATGTTCTTTATTACAATAATATCAGCTACGGGTATAAAGCGTCTCACTGGTTCATCAACAGCAAAACAAAATCGTCACGCATTTTGTTTCAGCCTGGGCAGTGACGGAGCATAACCACACACTGGTCGAGTACCTGTTTACGGTACATCCACACCATCACCAAGCCAGCTGGATGGGCGGGACGGCCTACATCTCCGGCTGGGCCCTCCTAGCCATACTCCTGGCCCTTAGTCTGTCCGGTATGCCATGGGTTCGAGCGAAGAATTTTCAGGTTGGTGTTTTTGTTGTGAGATCTCGCGAGAACTAACGTGATGTGGCGCGAATGAGGCTTCTTGTATGCAAGAACAATAGGCAAAGAATACAATTTTATCCATTTATTCAACTGTCTCTTTTTTCTTGATCTTTTTCATTAATAATGCATGTATATATAAATATATTTTTTCTATTTATTATTATTATTTTTATTATTATTATTTTTTTTTTAGTTGCAAGAAAGGAATGTGCCCTAAATTTTTTTCTGTGCCAGTTTATCTTGATTCGTTTTTATCATCATTTCAATAAACCTTTTTGATTTTTTAGTTGACTTGTCTTTCCATATTACATATTGACACAAGTCGGGGAGCAAAAAATACACCTTCCTGTTTTTATCAACGAAACAGTTAAATTTCTGTAATCTTTTTCAGGCATTTTACTTTACGCACCTTCTATATCTACCCTTCATGATCGTCATGTTCATCCACGCGCCGAGTTGCTGGAAATGGATAATAGTGCCTTCCTCCTTATTGGTGATAGAAAAGGTCTATCGGACCAAGGCTGTGAAGCGCCTGGAATATGGGAAGATCTTTATCCAAGAAGGCGTGCTCTTGCCTTCCAAGGTAATAGCGCAGGGATTCTGAGGGAAATATGAGTCACAAACGCACAGGCACGCACATGCATGCACATGCACACACACACACATACCAAAAGGCCCACACTCACAAACAGATTAGGCAACACGTATTTGTGTACGGATATGCATATAACACCCCACCGCTTTTTATTTCCCATGAATTTTTGCTTTATGCATCCAGTGCAATAAGTGTGCAACATATTACGCTTACTTCACTTCAGAAAAAAATACAAGAAAAAAGCAGATAAGATAAAAATAAAAACAGAAATTAATAAACAAACAAACAAACAACACATAAATAAATAAATAAAACTATATAAAAGCTATATTTGAGTACACCAAAAAATCGAGCAATGTCGTTGAAACGTCATCCCGACCTAATAATGGCTTCATGACCATCTACTTCACATGTAACCCACCAATGTAGTCTTAGGAATGGAGGTTCGGGGTCCCATATGATTAATACAGGTTACGGTTAGTCGGGAGTATTGGGGCTAGTGTAAAGGACGAGTGTCACTTTTTCAAAGTACTGAGGTACGGACTACGGTTCCTGGCGGATTACCATTCCTGTCACACGTGTCATCGTAACTTTATTGAAACAACATTCTCGTGTTCGTGGTCGTGTAGCACACGTGGGGCATTTACAATATCTTATTTTGTATTACAGGTGACACATCTCGTTATAAAACGCCCGGACAACTTCAACTTCACCGCTGGCGACTACATCTTTTTAAACATCCCCAAAATAGCTACGTTCGAATGGCATCCGTTTACGATCAGCAGCGCCCCCGAGGACCCGGGTAAGTGTGACGTCATCTTTAGGTTTTTAAGGCCGGAAGTTTGTCTTTAATCTACTTTTTGCCTTCAAATTCGCAGCGTATCAGTATGTCAAAGTCGGGCTGCATTCTTAGGCATACGGAAAGGATTGAAATTGTCATAGCTTTGACAGAAAAAATAATTTAAAAAATGTACTGCAGCCATATTCTATGAAAAAGAGATTAACCTTAAAAATAATCCATAAATAAGATTTCTTAAAATTACAAACCAATTTTCGCACGAGCATGAGGCGTTTGTTTCATTTATTTGTTTGGGATTTTTATCTATGCTAAATCATATACATATACCTATATTTTCAGATCATCTGTGGCTTCATATACGCGCTGTGGGAAGATGGACCAATAAACTATATGAATACTTTGAAGAAAAACGCGAGATAGCCAAAAGGATGAACCTGCCACACATAAGGAACATCTACGGTGACGTGGACGGGATAGAGGAAGATGCCTCGAGTTTGTCTTCCTTGGAATCCTCCAGTGATGGCCATGGAATCGATAACGTGGCTTTTGAGGCGATTGATGAATCGCGTGAAACAAAGAACAACGCCAAGAACGAAGAAAAATCGCGGCGGAGTATTACCCACGGGGTAATCCCGATTATCAAATTTGATTTGCCGGACAAGGGGAATGGTAGCGGATCGGATAACATTTCAGAAAGTGAAAGTGAAACTGAGAATGACATCGGGTTCGAAGACGACACAAATATCGAGGTTGTAACACTTAAAAGTGATACTGGAATGGGTAATGGAAGCTACACGTCCAGCAACTACAGTCTTCAAACCTACTCAGACGAAGACGACGAGTCATTCAACATAAAACAAAGCAGAAGGCTAACATCATTTCGGAATTTTTCGGACAGACTCGGAATACCTGAAAATTTCCGACAGAATTTAAGCGGTGGTGTGCAGAAAAAGGTGCAAAGATCGAAATCTATTGATAATGCACATATCATGAAGACAGAACTCGACCCGTTTGTCCAGATTCCTCCCGGATTTGACCGGAACAGAAGGAAATCCGCGTGCGCATTGAAACTCCCGGAAACAGAAGTTGTGAAACATCTGCAGCGCCGTCTATCGACGTGGCAGGGCATGTCCCATGGGCAAAACTTTGGCCATCTTTCACAAATGCCTTTCATATACAAAATGAATGCTGATGAACATAAACCGTCGATTGACGAAGCACTGGAGGTAAGATGTTTTCAATAAAAGATCTTCGACTCGTGCAGTTCGACAGTACTTAACTGCGATTAGGCCAGACAAAACTCTTAAGTCGGTTAACGAGCGACGTGTCTCTTTAAAGAGGGTCGGGAAGACGAAAACATTTCTTCATGTTAAACGGAAGCATCTGTGGTACAGGGTCTGCCTGTTTTAATATTTATAGTTAATTTATTATTAACTGCTGTAAATGTTTTCCCGTTAATACAGCTTTGCCGTTTGCCAAAGTATGAATGAAAGTTATTGTTATTAGGTATAAAATATTAACATCTGAATACATACATTTATTTTAAAAGAAACGTTGAACCTTTAAGGTGATTTGGTTCCACTGTTTTCAGGTGTATATCGACGGTGCTTACGGTGCCCCCGCCAGTAATTTCTTCCAAGCCGAGCACGCTGTGATGATAGCGTTGGGCATTGGAGTCACTCCCTTCGCCAGTATACTACAGAGCATTATGAGACGGTAATACTTAGCCCCTTAAGGCATGCGATGCTAGTCATTAGCCATTCTTATAGCAAAAGGAAAATCCTGGACATATTATAGCAAAATTTTCCTTCAGGAAATTCGAGTCACAGATATCAGTTTTACCCTCACGAGTGAAATCTACCTGTGACATATCTACTGTAACGTTTCTGCTTTTTTATGATGTTAAGTTATGAAAAATTCATTTAATTTCTTTATTCAGATATAACACGGCTAAGCACGAATGCCCAAAGTGTACACATTCCTGGATTGACGAGGACCTTTCAGATACATTGGGGTCATTGAAAAAAGTAAGTTAACCATCGTAAATGTACTGGTGCGCAGCGAGGCAACCGTATAAAGCTCATCTTGGCTTACAACAGCGCCATCAAACATAGTTCGACTGATCAGGGTCATGTGTACTTAGCGACAACTGTTCGAAGTACATGTACATGTATCTGTCAGATTGAAGTCGTGGGTGGTTAACCAGCTCCGCAGAAATGCGATTGAAGTTGTAAAGAAAATAGTCAATTTAGCTGGTTGTATACATTTTGTTTAAGAATTTAAGCTTTGATCAGATGTTATATATAATGAAAATAGGAACCACTCCGGGAGTGCTGCCCACTTTTCAGGAAAAGAACCCTCCTTTTGAAATTGCTGGCTACGGGCCTGTAAACTTCTATACGAAAAGATTCAGTGAAAATTTTAATGATCTAATTCCCTTCTGAATGACTGCCTTTCCCTTAAATTCCATCAAATATATGAAGAATAATACAAATAAATCTTGTTAACTGAAACATAATCTCCTTCATTAGCGGAATTTTATTTAATCGTTAATTTTTACAATTTTATGTCCGTTTTACGATACAAATTAGTCACCCGAACTGTCACTTGTCACCATGCTGTTTCTCCCGCTGAATAAAGTCGATATTGAAAATTAACTGTAAGCATATATTACTTTTTGTAGGTGGACTTTTTCTGGATTTCTCGAGGAATTCGGTCGTTTGAATGGTTCAGTGATCTGCTGACGCAGCTGGAGTTGGAGCAACTAGAACTGGTGCCTGGCGCATCCATGGATACATTCTTAGGTAAATAATAATAATAATAATAATAATAATAATAATAATAATAATTTTTGTATCCAAGATTTTATTTATTTATTGGGGGGGCTCAAGGATATATACATGAACTATGGCCAAGCAAAAATTAGATAGTTTAGACAATTTTTATGTAAACTGTCGGGCTCAGGGATAGATTCACGTTTATCTAAAAACATGTATGCCTTAACACTTTCAGATCTCCACATATATAACACAGAGACTGAGAACAATTTCGGTATTCGAGATGCTTTGCTTGCACCCGGGTTGGAACTGGTGAAGCAGAATAACCTGACTGACGTCATACCCGGACTTTTGACGCAGGCGCAGAGGGGACGACCTAACTGGAATGCTGTAAGCTAGCTGATGAGCGTTTTTTGAAACCAAGATATCTCTCTCTCTCCCTGTCTCTCTGTCTCTCTCTCTGATACTCGGCTGCGTTCTTAAGAAGTGTACATGTAACTACTCACTGTACTATATAAGACGCACAGCCGCAGTGTGTTCCTGCGCTCAACTGCCGAATTTTTTTCTTAAATGTATTTCGAATACATTTCCACATCTGGCGGCCAATTCATTGAATAAAAGGCGACCAGATCTGGAAAAAAATATTTTATATTTTACTTATTTATATGTTGATTTTAATTACAGGTTTTCAAAGAAATAAACAATAACCGCAGGGGGCGTGTGACGGTGTATTTCTGCGGACCGCGATCGGTAGCTTCTATTGTTAAAGGAAAATGTATAGAATACGGCTTCAGGTTCACCAAGGAAAACTTCGGATAAATTTCTCACGTTTTATGTGGTTATTTAATATGGGATTCAATTAATAGTGTTTGCTATCTATGTTAGATGGTACATTAGGTGTCTCATAGATTGTATGTTACACGGCATCATATGGGTTTTATAAACTTAAGTGAATATATTAAAGGCATCCGCTTCGGTTTTAACTGTTATAAGCATAAACACACCTTATGCCTTTATGCCATAACACACGTCAAGCTTTTATTAACATGCCTTGTTTATATTCGTTTTTTTTATCTATGAGACTATACTTTTGATGAAACTCTGATATCTTAAAACATTCCAATTAATGGCATTCAATTGATTATCTATGGATTTTACATAGAGAAACTGTGATGGTTATTTTAAAGTTCTATGCTTTATTAAATGTGTATAATATAAGATGGCATGTTGCCTCATCAACATATTTCCGGTGATAGTAGTTTTCATGAATAATTTCATTATTTATATTTTAGTATTATTTTTAGCAGTCAATCCTGTACTAGGTATTTTATCTACAATAGTAGAATCAGCATCTTTTTTGTTAAACTTGTCTTTTTTCGCAATCTTTAAAGCTGCACAAGTACCACAATAATAACGTTTGATAATTATGAAATTTTCAATATAAAGTCTATGATAGTTTTTTCTCAGAAAATAAGTGACATTGCATTTACGGGACTTTTTACTTTAGTTTTAACATCCTTTGTCAACTTTTGTACAGTGGCTGGTCCTCAATATATTATAATCATTTTATATATCATACTATCTGTGAAGTATACAGTACACGTGTACGCCTCTCAATTGGTTCACTTATGCTGTCACTTGGTGACTTTCTCCCTGGCTATCTGTATTGCGAAAAAGAATCGAACTGTTAATCTTTCCTATTCCATATACACAGTATATATATGAATTTAAAATTATTTTCTCACTTATAGAGAATATAGAATAAATTTGTACTGGTACAAAACAGAAGCTTGTTCACATTCAAGGCTCGGTATGTTTGAAAAGAAGCGATGGAAATTTGGTTACGGGAATCAACCATATTTTACGGTTAAATTCCTGAGATGTAAAACGAATGCACAATTATAACTATTAAGGAAACAATAACATTTTAGTGATAGGTCTCTATATCAATTAATATACAGTCGAATGTTTTCATTTTGTAACTAATTTTCAGCTCCTCGAACTGAACGTCGCAAAACATCAAGTTCTAAAAAAGGACAATCATTATTTACTTTTGCCATGGCATATCAAGTTTAACTTGGTAATACTGGTAAAAAATGTTTTGCAATCAGTGTACATGTGTATATGAATCTGTGGATATATTTTACAAATAAAGTTGGACTTTCAACACACCTATGTTTCTTATTAAATATCAGAATAATACAAGCTGCATGTGCTAAATTTACAGGTTTTTACCAGTGCTGCATTTAAAGACATCCAAAGCATATTGTGCTCTGAATTTCTAAGTCATTAAGCGGTCTTTGTTAATATACAGAGCACAACCCTTGAGCGCGTGTTCAGAAACTCTCCTTGCGGAATCCGAACCCGTATTCAGCTGCCTTTTTCCCCAGAACGACAGCCAGCCCAGGCGGGCCGCAGTAAAAGATGGTCACCCGGCCTTTCTTCAGGTTCTTTAGCTTTTGGAACTCCTAAATAAATAGTACATAAATAGTGGCAATAAATAATATGGCCCACTCTCATGTGTATTTCATAGTTTTTACGACGGTAAAAATGCCATTTGTTATTAAATTTCATTTCTCACATCGCCGAGTCAGTTACTAATGAAATGTCAAAACAGCATGTCTTACTGCCAAAAACACGGTTAGTTCCTTTAAAAACTATTTTCTTCTATTAAAGACAGTCTCAGTGGGTTAGATTAATGTATAGAAGCAAGTTCTATGTAAAACTTTGATCAGATTTGTGTTTTGTGAGATTGTTTATTATTATATTAATAAGTCTGGGTCACAAAAGTCCTGTTAAGACAACTAGAATAAAAAATTAGAAAACGAAAACTATTTATCACGATTTCGGAGCACAGCCGGAAGTACTTCCGGCTCAATGTCATGGCCTCGATTTTCCCACGCTTACGACCAATCACAGCAGGCTTCAGTCAAAATGAGATAGACGTCACGACTACAGAGCGAAACTTGTCAGACATGTAAGTGCCGCCTGTCCATCTTTTCGGTACATTTACCGATCAAAAACAGAAAACGTAAAGCCCAAAACGCTCTTATACACGTAACCAACTTGGTATGAGCACAAATATTGTCATTTATTGTGAACAGGATAATATGATAATCAGACACACTTGAGACCTGTGAAGCGCATACTCACGTGTCGAGGAGTAGTTTCGCCATTGCCTCGTATGTGAGTCCTAACTCAGCTTTAAGTGTCCTCCACCGCCCACCCTGAGCATCAGAGATAACTTGACACTATCCTCTTCACTATAGCCTATCTTCATCGTGTCAAGTTACCTCTGACCACATTCGATTGCCCCCGCCGCCCGCCAATCAAATTTAAAGCCCGCACTCAACAACTCACTGAACGATCTAGCCAATGAACGCTTTGTTCAAATCCGGNCTTGCGGAATCAGCCGAGGATTACCGGTTGACGGTCAACCAATCAGCGTTTTCACCAAACTTTGGTGAAAAATTTTGAAACTTGGATTCGATTGGCTTATATAAACTAGGTCAAACTATTTTCGTCAGAGGGAACTTGACACGATGAAGATAGGCTATTGTGAAGAGGTTAGTGTCAAGTTAACTCTGAAGCTCAGGGTGCCACCGCCCCACCTCCCTCCCAATATACACAGTCTGAGTGCTTCTTCGTCTGTCTCTAATTTTCTTTCGTATCTTTCGAACTGGAGTGGCTATTTTCTTTCGTCCCCTTTTGTTGCTCTCCTCTTCAGACTTGACGCGCGTCTCCATGTTTGCTGTTTTGGCGCCAAATAGTAACATCCGGGTCTCAGCCGTAGTACTTCATTCATAGTAAACCGCGAGACTAAGCGAGAAATTGCGCGTTCTGAAGCCGTACTGTGAGGTGGTAGCTGAGTATTTAAGACGAGTCGTCTTTTATTATTTAATTGAACTTTAAAACGGTATTAGGTAGCTTCATTTTCTGAACGGTTTTGGATAGGATATACCTTGGTCATTATGGCGAAATTCGTGAGATTTCCAGGAAAATTCATTTTCGTGCTATTTTAAGGGTTTAACGCGCTGAGACTGTCTTTAACCATGGTTATCAAAGTGTTATCATAATTCTCAACGGTTTCAGATGGGGACATTGTACGTTTCCTAGGGAATTGAGAAAAGGTGATGAATTCCAATGTTTTTTTTATTTACTACACCAAGACGATGTAGAGTCTACAACTTCTTGGCTGCATAAAATCTAAATCTACCACCCCTTGTAAATATACCAGTATATTAAAGACTTAAAATTTCTAACCTCGTCCCAGTTTGGTCTTCCGGGCTGTGTCTTGGTTCTCAGACCGGTTATTGCGTCACGGGCCTCGACTTGGTGATTAAGGTCAAAGGTTATTTGCTGCAGGACTGACCTCATATCTGTTTTTGCAGCCGTCATATAAATGTGAAAATCTGAAATAAACGGACGGTGTGGTGAATGTTATAATTTTTTTTTATTAAAATAAGATCCTGGAATGTGAACACATATTGAGAGAGAGAGAGAGAAAAAGAGAGAGAGACTGTAGAGTGAGAATGAGAAGGGAAGAATTTCAACGCAGCAGTAACCATGGCAGCTTCTAAATGCAATGCTGGCCTCTTACCAATGCCATTTAACGGTTTCATATTCTAAAACAAACTCTATTGTTTCTGACTGGAAGGCATACGGGAAATGAGCGTTTAGCCTTATTGGTATATGGAAAAGTTAAAATTTACTGGTGATTTTAACATTTTTTCCTAATTTAATGGTTTGCAGATTGCATTTTATTCGATAGTTTTGACTGTATGCGTTTGAATTCGTTAAGATGCGATGAAATCCTGAACCTGTGAAATGCATTATTCGTCCATGTTGAAATATATCAGCAAATATACGTGCTTCCACCTACCGATGATACTGTCGTCCAGGTTGTCCAGATCCTCCTGTTCCATTTCTAACTGAGCCAGAAGACTGACGAACCACTCAAAGGACGACTGATCCCGGCACAGCCAGAAAAAGTCCACCTGAAGACAGAAAGACATTGTCTACAAACTGAAATATGGGTAAGTGACATATACATATCTGTAAGTTACAGACACCGAGTCCCAAATTCCCACATTGACAGATGCCTATGTTCATGAGGCTGTGAAGAATAAAAGAAAAGAAAGCGCTGTGCCTCGCGTATCACTGTGAACAGTTAATGATAAAATTCTTTTAAATGAATGTTGAGAGTGAAAACATGAAATGCATGTTACAGAACATAAATATTTTCTTCCTCTCTCTCTCTCTCTCACACACACACACACACACAATACACCCCTCTTTCTGTACCTTTTTCAAGTTATACAAAGTACAAGGTAACTCATCCAGCCAGGCGTGGTTACACTTAGGACACACGTTTTTCTCTCGCTGATATCTCAGCAGGATGCTCTGGAGGATGCTGGCGAACGGGGTGACACCTATCCCGCCCGCCACCAACACGGCGTGCTCTGCCTGGAATATGTGGGACGACGGACTGCCGTATGGACCGTCAATAAACACCTATAACGACAACAAAAACAATAAAATAATACTAATAATAATAATAACACAGAAAATGTAAAAGAATACGTATGGTAGAGAAAATGTTTGGATAAAAATTTTTAGGTGCATGCGTGTGAGAAGAGCTCTGTTGGCCATATACTGCTATATATTAATACTCCATTACATTATAATTGAAATAACTAAGACAAATAAAAAACAGCATTTTCATCCGTAAATATTCTTTCGATATACGATTCATTTCGTTTTTAAAACATAAATAAAAGTTTTGTTACATGAAGATTACATTAGATTTAATTTCTTCCTAAAGTCCAAAATCAATCATCAATTTTCAAAACAATTTGTTAATCGTTAACATGTTAGTTAATTCACTTTGTCTGGTAACTACCTCCAGTAATTCATTCAAAGTCGTATCAGCAGCGGGGTCTATATTATAGATGAAAGGTTTTTGCTTGGTCATGGCGAAGTTTTGCCCAGACGACACTGCTTCCCACGTCGATAGGCGGCGCTGACATAGCGTCATGCGTCGGTTTCGGTTGTGACCCGTCATGGAGTTCGACGTGCCAAGTCTGCGTAGGGGCGGGGGTTTAAAATCTGGGGGTAAGATGTCATCTTCTTCATCTTCTGATTTATCCGAATTTTCACTCTTTTCGGATTTGTCCTCTTTAGTCGAGCCATCCGAGGGCTTGTATTTTTCCATAGATGTCCTGCTTTCTTTGTCATCGGACACATTGCCGGAGTCTGAGTTTTCTCTCTTGTAGCTTTCGTCACTTGTTGCAACATCTTCATTACCATGGTCCATGTGAGAGTTTTCTGAATTTTTGCATTCGCTATCTTCCCCACCATTGTTAGCTGCCGTAACATTTGTGGTTTCTCCCGTATTGTCGCCAATTTTGTTATTTTCTATATCGAGTTTGTCTTCTAGGGATACATTACAGAGATCTAAATCGGCTGTGTGCTGTTTTTTCTGGGTATTCAAAATATTGAGATTATCGCTTGGCTTTCGCTCTTTAGAATTTAGATAAGGCTCGACTGTGGAAATATCCTGTGAGTCACTTTGGCCCATTACCAGCGATTTACTGTCTTCATCCTCCTCTAAAATGTCGTCGATTCTAGACACGCTGAGGAGATTAGAACCTTGTTGAAGATTCTGTTCAGCCATCGGAACCGATTCTTTTTCATTACCTGCGCCGTCGTTCTCGATTTCGAACGCAATGTTGATGTGCCCTTCGTGCGCATGTCCGGAAGTTGAATTTAGCCCGCCATTGGAGACACGGTTGAAGTGGTTCATCCGTCTTTCTCTTTCCAGCAAATGGTTACTAAGGGCATTTTCCTCAGCCCCAACATCATGACCGTGAAGACGCCTGGAGATGCTACGCATGCTACTTCCCCCAGTGTTTGCCCTGCTGCGCATGCTCCGCAAACTACTTCCGCTTGCGCTGACCTTACTGCGAATACTGCTCCGAAAGGCGTCAATCTGGTGACTCATCCGTCGCTCTTGGATCATCAATTCTGCGGGAGAAAACTGGAAATTGCTCACTGCGAGGCGCCGGCTCTTTAGCGTGGGCATGGTGGCCTCCCAGCGCTTCCGCTTCTCGTCAAAATACTCGTTAACTTTCGTCGTCCACGTGCCAACGGCCCTGATGTGCAGCCATATATGACCTTAAGAAAGCAACGTATAAATTTTCTATTTATTAATTTATTCATTCATGAGAAATATTTGTTTCCAAAGAAAATAGCTTTATAGCAATGTTTTTTATAATCCGGTTTGGAATGTGAACACGACTGTTTGAAAATATGATTAATAATTATATCATTAAAGTATAAATACATTAATGTATAAGTGGCCCACATTTTTTGTAATGGGATAATCAAACCTTACAGTTCGCTTGTCAAGTAAGTGTAATTTTATTAAAAAGGAATTGAGCTGATAGCAATTAAGAACCAGTAATAAAATATTTTTATACTGTAGACGGCGCCCTTTCCCTGTATAGCCACACATGGTACTAAATGGGTGACTTTAAATTTTGACGACATATGTTGGTATTTACCCCCGTCTCGTGTTTGCTGCTGACATTAGCTTTCCTACGAGAACACTCAAGTTTAGAGTGTAGGCAGCGCTCGTGCACATACTCCTCTCCTCACGCTTGCTGTTCCTGAGCAAAAGTTTCGAATATAGATGACGACACTTACCTCTGTACTCTGGGGCACTACTAATGGTGAATGGGTGCCACTCAAATTTTGCGATCTTAGGGATATTGATGAAGACGTAGTCTCCCGGATTGAAGGAAAAACTCTCGGGCCGGTCAAGCACTAAATGTGTCACCTATAAATACAGTGTATTGCCATCCAGTATCAGATTCAAGTTTTGTTTATTTTAATGTGTTGCAATTTTATGAAAGTATAGAATATTGATCCAGTTTTAAGAAAATAAGGAAAATCACTATAGACTGGGTATTACTACAGAGACTTCCAGAACATTAATCCAGTCTTAGGCAAATATGGCAAAAAGAACTCACTAAGGACTTTGGTAAGAACGAAAGAGTTATTTTCTTAACTTTTCTCTTTACTCACTTTCGACGGTAACAGTATCCCCTCCTGTACGAACGTCCTTCCGTAGGCCAGACGCCTGATCCACTTGAAGCGGTATAACTTTTCCACGACAAAGATGGCGCCCGGGGCCACGAACCACTTCCAGAAGCTGGGGCCGTGGATGACCAGCAGGATAAGAGTGGGAGCGTAGAGAATATGACTGAAGTAAAACAGCTGGAAGAAATACATGATTTATTGATTAAACGGATAGATTTAAGATGCTCACTGTACATTTAAGGTTTTCCCGAAACAAAATCATGCTTGATGGATTTTACTGGGGTAAACGGTACTTTTCTCTAAGTAATCGACTTTTGACCCCCCGTTGCTGACATTTGCCATTATTCTGTAGCAACCTTGGAAAATCAAAAAGTCTGTTTTTTTTTTATCTTGTCATTCTTATTGAAATGATAGATGAATAAATGAAATGTTTCGTTAGATTAGGAATTATTAGGGCACTTTGGGGACAAGAACGTATTCCCAAAGAGATTTAAACCTTTTTGCCGAACATACTTAAATATGTCACTCAATTTCATTTTTTGGGATATGAACTCTCATTGTATAAATATAAAAAAATGGTTGTAAGCTAGTACTGTAAGAAGACTGCCCTTGATGATGTTAAGGGGTGTCAATCAACTATATGCAAATCTACGGCCAAAGCATCATTAATGCCTATCTATATCTCCAAAGATAAAACAACTACATGTCATGCATAGGTGCTTTACATGAAACCAAGGTCATCATTAAGCCACAAAGACACTAACTACCGCATTAAACATGTCAGATTGGCGTCCGTGAACAAATATCAGATTTGTTCAGTGTTATCTCTCCATAGCGATCGAATCAGTGTCAAACGTGGCCATTAACTGCGTTCACGGTAGGTGGGAATGTTGTAATAGGTATTTTGACAGCGTTATTTTTAGCCATTTTGGTTGTTCTTGGTATTTTACGGAAACTGCGTTACTATAAAATAAGTTTTGTTACAGTAGTGCATTATGCGTGCTCAAAAGACCTTTTTGGCACTGGCCAATATCTCTTTTTTCTTTTCTTTATTTGATGTGGTTAAATCTCTTTTTATGTGAATAATATATATATATATATATATATATATATATATATATATATATATATATATATAGTGCTGGTATAAATACGGTACAGAGCCTATCTCTGTAGGGAAACATCTGACATTTACTAGTATACTGTTAGATAACGTTTCATGACGTTAATTCCGAAATACAAACATATTTCGAAAAGAAAAAGTTAAACTAAACACGTACGACACTCCATAAAAAGTTACAACTGTTAAAGATTCATATCAATTGTCTCAGTGGCTCCCTCTTCTGGTGACGCCACCTACCTCCAATATCCCACACCACTGTTCTCAACAACACAAATTGAATCAAAACCACTCCATCGTGGCTTAATTACCTCAAAATGGCCTCTTCTCCTCACGAATGACTGCGCCCCGATGAACATAATGATGATGAGCACCAACAACGCCCATCCCGTGGGACACGCCGTGCCGGCCACCCAGCCCACCTGAGATTTAGTTGTAAACAACGCCTCAGCAACGGTGATGTTCATGCTCGGTGCTACCATGACTGAAACGCAATATAAACGTTTTTTTAAAATCTATTTATTCATTTATTTCTTTTATAATTTTCATGCAAAACATTAGTTGTATCTTAAACGTGTACTGAATTTTTATATTCATATTGATGTAGAAAAGATACATGTAGCATATGAATAAACTTCTTTAGTGTTATTTGTATTAAATGTACTGTTCAGGTAGATCACAACTAAAACAATAGAAATTTGACTCAGAACACGAATTTCCTTTTTAATATACTGTATAAATGGTGACATACATATGCATATACCAAAACTGTATACCTGTACATGAAATGAACATACAATTAACTGATACGTACTAAAATTCCCGATATGCCCACCAGTGTGCAGTATGCTAAGAATCAATATGACAACCCCCACTGCCTTGTGAAAGTCTATATGTTGATCTATAGGCAGCCAGAATGCGACCTTGGATGACCTTATCAAGGTCAAGGTCACTCGCAGCATGAGGACCACGACCAGCATGCAGTTTAAGTTGAGTAGTTGGCCTGTTATAAGAGAAAATAGTTAAAATGTGATGAAATCATTCTCACATCGTTCAAACGTTCAGACGTTAGAATACTGTTAAATTTATTGTGAATTTCCATTTTGAAGATACCTGCCTTTGGTCTGTTAAGCATACTAAGAAACAAAAAGTGAATATTAAACTGGTTTGGAATGCGTTCTAGGAAAAAACAACTTCATGATGGTTCCAATATATTTCCATTAACAACCTTCGTTGGGATCCCCTTAATGCAGGTTATTATGCATTTACAGGATCTTTTATTCAGTTTTATTCAAGCCTGTGACCCCTATAACTTAGGGAATCAAAAACAACCCATATGACATTCTTATCAAATAGCGCATATATTGTTTTAAATTCTAAAAAAAAACCTCTATTTTCAATTTTAAACGAGATTTTTCATAAACTTCCCAAATGAGATCTCTGTGTGACATTAACAAAACATATATTTGAAAGGATTTAGATTCCTTTTTTGCTTTAGTTTCTTGACCTTCACTCACCACAAACGCGCGCCAAAATATCGAACCCTGTGATTTCGGAATTGTTGGCTAAGAACCGCAGCACTCTCTCTGCTATCAGGCCAGCTGACACAGAAAAATAAAGAAAGATGGCGACACCGCTTGGAGATCGGTTCAGCAGTTCTGTCGTCTGGCAGTTTGGGCAGCATGACCTTGTCCTTGATGACTCCTTTGGGCGTGGTAGTGTTGTCTTTGACCCGGCTTTTATGATGTTACGAAACCATCCCGTTGTACTGTAAATTTTGAAACATCGGCAGTAAACGTAAAAGGTAGTACGTTCTCAAACTTTCAAAAAGACGATGTTAAGCTTTACACTTTAAAAGTTAAATACATAAATAATACAGAATGGTCACAACCTTGAAATAATCTTGATAAGGAAAATGTTTTTTAAACTTAATACTTCAAGGGTCCACCCCTCAAATTATAACATATTCTATGGGCATTTTTATTTCACAAAAGTTACCGTTTTCCGCAAGCTGTGTGCCTTTTTGCTGCCTTACTTTTGTCATTAAAGACGTCCCTTATCATCTTATCACTGCATACTGATTCACAACGGGAATCTCCTTGTGGAAATATCCTGTAGGGTCCTATAAAATGCTCTATTGGAAATTCGCCCAAAATCATACATGTATAGGGCCCATGTATAGGCATCCTATAAGACGTCAGAATTCCTACAGAGCCCTATCTGGTCCTCTAGGATGAATATACCGGTAGAGTTCGTAAAGTCCTATAGGACATCCTATTTGGGGGTTTTCATAAGGCCTGATATTTTCGCTCAAACAATATTAATATCATACTATCTCACCTTTTGACCAGATGCGTCGACAAGGCAGGGAACTTGTTCATCAGCTCCTCAAACTCCTCAAAATCCAGTCTGCAGTCCTCCTCATCCTCAAGGTCCTTGGCGGCCTCCTCAATAAGTAACTGGACCAAGCTGTCTACGTACTCCTCGCTGAAGGTGTGGTCCTCCCCGCCTAGAGCCTCGATCAGGATTGCTTTAACTGCACTGGTATCTATGGCGCCTTCGCCTGCTCGAGGCCAAACATGTTTATAAATGCGCGGAAATTATTATTTTGCCCCATTAGAAGAAGTGTTATTTAGTGAACAAGACAAGATAGAGGGTCTTCAATAGATACAAGTTCATTGTCCTAATTTAATCATTTTTGTATCACTTAGCAACTAACGAATAAATCCATCTGTTTATTAATTGACATATCTTAAAACTGATTATAATAGTTTATTAATAGTAACAACCATAAGGTTGACTTGTTATATTTAAAGAATAAAAATAATTTAATGTTTAAAGACATGAGATTTTTGTTACTGTATCAGATTTACTTTTTAACACCCGGATGTGTTTACCTTCTGTAACAAACACGTCAAAAAGTATTTGAAGTCGTTCGATTTCTTTTTCTGAATAAACCCTTCGCACTCCTTCTTCCCATTCCTGAAGACTTAATCCGGCGGATCCATCCTTGTCTAAGATTTTAAAAAGGCGATCAGCGTACATGGGCTAAAATAGTAAAATATGCACATTTTTACAACAGTTATATCCTGGTGGAAATTCAGCTGTTTAGTATACTGATAACGAGTATTTCTAGACAAAATTAAAGCTATACCCCCCAAACACACGCACACACACACACACACACGCAGACACACGCACACACACACACACACACACAGACAAACACGCACAAACGTACACACACACACACACACACACACAAATGCACACATACAGACACACGTAAACACACACTGAGTAAGGCCACGGTGGGACGAATTTTTTGTGTAGAAATTGAAAAATATTAATTCGAGATCATAACAAGCAGTTATAAATCGTCTTTCAATCTGCTATGCAAAGACCAATTGCAATCGGATGACAAACGATGTCGCCTCTAGGCTGGGTCACGCCCTCGTGTTGTTTACCCTAGGCCTGGTCAAAGCAAAGTCTATAGCAAATAGAAAGTTGAGCGTCCTCAGTAAAGACCCCTTTACACTGGACGGCGTCCTTTCTGAGTCCAGTAGTACTGCACCGTTTGAGAGGAAAAAAATACTTTACGTGCTAACCTCTGGCCGATCATTGAGCATTCATTCTGCAGCCAAAGCGATGCTTGTGACTCCTTTCTATGACCACAGCAATTCCAGTTTCATGGTCGCACAAAGGACGCAGAAAGGACGCCATGGAAATGGAGTTTAGGCATAAGCAGGCTAAAGCAGTGAGTAGGTGAAGGAGGGGGGGAAGGGGGGGGGCGGCAAAATGCGATGCACCTCGTTTTGTCGCAACACGCCTGCAAAGCCATTCACAGTTGGCCTCTAACTCTCTCCCCCCCCCCCCCCCCCACTGTGCAAAAAAAAAAGTGTTACAGGCAAAAAAACCCAAAAATCACACAATTTTCCACCCCTATGCCTTACATATTATAGAAAAAAATTAATGAATATTATCCCTTTTTTGTCTTGTGTCACCCCCATAAACCGTCAAATAACCTTGCCAAGAGGGCAGATTTAATGTTTTACTGCTTGGTTTCTTTTCGCTCATATTGCACCACAAACTACTTCAGGGTTGGTAGTTCAAACACATTTGAAGGAAGATTTAGCGTCGCCTGAAGGGAGACGTGAAAGGTAGCTTTTTGTGTTTTGAATTTTAGAAATGAGCAAACATTAGCGACTGCTCTCGACGCTGTTTTTCACTTTGTTGCGGGTTGTATCCATAATAGCAAGTGTAATTTAAAACTGAATCACTTATGTAACCTTATACCGTGCTACATGTTTACATCTCAAATACAACTGCGGTAAATATCGAATTGCGTTCACTTATTTACGAAAACGTCACTAGACTTTTTAACTTCGTAGATTAGCCAACTCAAATTGAACTGAAATTTTGACATTATACGTGCATTATTCTCTTGAGACTTCTGTCCCCACTCTATACGACGTGAAAAAATAATGTCCTTTGCAAAATATTTTATATAGCATTAGAGCCTGACAACGACGCAGCAGGGATTCGAGCAGTCGTAGTTTATTTATCTCTCGTTTTCTTTTAGTTTAATCTACAGGAAACGTAATTATCCAGCTTTCTCTTTGAATTTCATAAGTTGAAAAAGAAGGAAAATTATTACTAGAAGCGACAAAGTGGATTAACTCACCTGGGCAGTTTTCAATAACCAGAGAATAAGCCCCACATCAGAAACATCTAATAACCTCATATTGCAGGATTTTTATTTAATTAATTATCATTATATTCACTATTGGGAACCACAACAATCCCTCTCGCCCGATAAATGAATAAAGAAGTAAATCAATATGGCATCATCAGCAAAATTGACACTTTACTTTTCATTATCATTATGATAATACTTAACTTGAGTCTGGCCATTTTGTTCAAACACTAGGCCACCGCAAGGCGCTCTATTGTGGCTCAAAATAGTCACTATTTTTATCCTTTATTTGTCAATAGAAAAAAAATCACAATCATTATTGTTTTGAAATCGATGACGGGAAGACACGTTCAAGCACTGCCCATACACAACATTTCAATAATTTTGGTCAAACAATCCTCGAGGACATGATTGACATTTTCATTCTGAATTGTATTAATATTGTCTTCGGGTTCAATAGATCAGGCATAATTTCATTTAAGTCCATTGTGGCCGACTTATACTTTATCAAATTAAAGTTTGCGTTTATTGTTCAATTGAGTTTACAGTCCTCTCAAATTCGCCTAACAAACACGTTAAAAATGGAAGCAAACAGAAAAGCATGTTTGAATTTGAAGCAGTCGACAGCAAATCTGCTTTGTGCTTTAAGAGCGTCGTGACAGTTGTCAAGACAGAAATTGACTCATCGTTATAATATTAGTAAGCGTATAAGGACAGGATGAACTCATGAACTAGTGACCAGCTAAAAAAATAACATCAAAAGAATTAATATAATTTTGGATCTCCCACCGGCTGCGAAAAAAAGAAAGATTTTACAGAAAACATAATGTCCCAATTGACTAGAAGTACATACTTACCGTCAGTACATTTTATAAGCATTTTTGTTGATATTTCCCTCAAAGGGTTATTATGCCGTTTGTACTAGCACATACTTATCTTGTTCTTCGCATTCCCGCTACACCGCTACATGTTATGGGTAATTTAATTACAAGTGTTCGCGCCGTCACAGGAGAAAATGAAAGGGAGGAAGGGAGGAAGAAGAGAGAAATAAGTTAGAAAAGAGACGGGGGAAGAAAAAAGTGTGTGTGTGTGTGTGTGTGTGTGTGTGTGAGAGAGAGAGAGATAGAGAGAGAAAGAGAGAGAGAGAGATGGAGGGGAGTGATGGGGAGAAGAAAGAATAGATACAGAGCCATGTGGAATGTGGAGGGTAGAAGAGAAAGGAGGACGAAAAGAGAAGGGAAAGAAAGAAAAGAGAANAGAAGGGAAAAAAAGAAAAGAGAAAAAAAGTAGTCATTAACACATATGTACATGTGAGAGGATAAAGACAGAGAGAAAGAAAAAAACGTTAAACAGTGAAAAGAAATTTACAGTCTATTAACGACTTTATCCATGTCGCAATAAAATATTAAAAAAAAAAAACACGTCAACGTATCTTACATTTGACTTTTTGCGGGTGTAACACTGATAGGCAGTGCATGAGAGTTAATAACTCGCCCTGTTTTGCTTACAAATATGGCTATTTTCCTTTCTCCGTGTGAAAATTGTATCTCTTCGCCGATAGACGACAAAAAAGGTTAAGACTACAAGACAGTCCAGTTAGTAGGAAAGTGAAATAAAAATAAATAAATACATAAATTAATTAGTTAATTGATAGTGTCTATAGATTTATTTAAATAGAAATAGGTAAACACATTTGAAAATAAGTAAAATATGGCAAACACATGTTTAGGTTTAAAGATAGATATAGGAACTCACCTCACAAAATGCTACACACGTTCGAAACGTCTCTAGATCCACTTCACCGTCTTCCCCTGCGTGAGAAGCGTGTTGCTTCCTTGCCTCGGCTAAAATGTCTTCCATGTTTTACAGGTGTCCTCGCTCGTAAGATGTTAATTCGCAGTGTTCAACTTGCGACACTATATCGGCGACATTTACGGAAAATTATTTGAGTGCTTACAGAAATGCGATAAAAGTTTCTAGACCGAGAATCTCCGGAAATACACGAAATTACACGGTAAGGTGGAATTCGATTTCGCCGTGATCGCAAAGTTAGTTTCCATTTAAAGTTCATCTAACGTGCAAAGTGACTTGCAGTTTAAAAAAAACATCCTACCACTTTGCAACCTTCTACGCGCATTGTCGCTGAAGTGTTGACTTAAAATGCGAGGGCAGCTCTTTAAAAGGGTAAATCCGATCCGATTAAAGTTTAACGGGTGTGCTAACCGCAAATATTGGGGTTGTGGTGCTTGGGTCCCGTATCCTAATTACCCGATGAAAACTTCTCGCTTTGACACACCGAGCGCTGCAAATTAGCCGGGAAATTGACCAAGTCGGTGGCGTCAAGACGTGAATTTCAAATAAAAGCCCGATTTTTTTTCTGTTCGCTTCTTCAAGACATGTTCATATTGCAAAGGTGGAGCACAGGTCATAGGTGCACAGTCTCCCCTCCTTACCTCCAGAGATACCCTCTCCTCCCTATAAAAATTATCGGCCATTTTCGCTAGTAAATTTTGGATTATTTAGAGTTATCTTTTAAAGAAAGTGTGATAAACGGTTTATGGTTATTTCTGATAACTTGTATTTTATTAAAGAGATTTGACAAAATTTGAAAGATCAGATTTCAGGCATTTTCAGGAAAAATGAACCGAAATTCTATCTAATTAATTAATTAATGGAATTGAAAAAACAATGAATCGGGTTATTAGTAATACCTTGGTCTATATTTTAAAGATATTTTTGACAGTTTATTTTGAATTTTGAGATATTTCTAGATGACACAAATGCTGAAGGGGATGTTCGGTTCAATTTACGAATAGTGAGGAATGAAGGAAAAACAATGCTTACCATTCGACGTATGTGCTTGATATGAATATAAATTATGCCCATTTATTTTACTAAAGGATTACCCGGACACTGATCAGCAACCAAAAACGGTAGAGCACGGTAGTATGATCAAGACGCCGTGCACCGGTACATGTCAAAAACACGAAAACAGTGCGGCTTTTCTGAAACGTTTTAATTTAGTAAAAAAAAATCAACAAAAATCACCTCACAGTGCGTAAGAAAAAAATCAGAACGTGTAAATACCCGCCTCTGTAGCTCAGTGGTTAGAGCACTGGTCTCGTAAACCAGGGGTCGTGAGTTCGAACCTCACCAGGGGCTTCTGATGACGTACATTCTTAACTCCTCCTGGCGGTAATTTTGAATCTTTACCTCCACCAAATACTTCATGTTTTCGGTTATGTTTTCAACTCCATTGGTCTGTTATTCTGATAGCGTGTTTGTTACCACCCAAAATCAAAAAGTTGTGGTTGGATTTTGAGTAGAAGTTCAGGTCAGGTTAGAAATGTGCTTCCCTAACAGTAATTAGATATTGGCGATGATGCTTTTATTAGTCTATGTTTAGTTATTAGTAAAAGCACATGGGACGCATGCTTACTGATGACGAAGATATATTACTTGAAAGTTAAGAGCTGAAGCGTGAGTGTAAACAATAAGTGTTTTTATCATTTTTTATTTATTTTATTTTCTCAATAATGTTCTGCGGTAAATCAAAGAATTTAACCGGCCACTAATCGGGAAGAGATTATAAGTGAGGGAAAATCGTTTCTGCCAAATACATGTACATGTATGTCAAAGAGCTTTAACGCTTAAAATACCATTTAAACAAAAGTTTAATAAAAAAAGTCATTATATGCTTCGGATCAATAATTTGTAGAAATGACGTCTCCCAAAGTCAATTATTGTACTAGTAGAGGAGACCGGTGCTAGTTGGACCCCGGGGTAAGTTGGCCCCCCATCAAGTCTCTTTAATAAAGTTACTTTAAGATGCTAAATTATTTCATTTGGACTCACTGCTGACGCTTCTTAACACCATTGGATACGGTCACTTTACAAAATAATGTGATCAATTATTCTACCCCATAATTACTTTGTCAGAAATTGATGGGGGGCCCACTTACCCAACTAGCCCCGGTCTCCCCTGTTTGCTGTTTGCTCACCAAATGAGGACTTATGTCTCGGTTTCAGTGCACACATGTATGGTGAAAGTGAAACTGATTGCAGTTACATACACACTGAGACTATCCTTACTTTAAAATAGAAATTAAGGATTAAAGAAATGTGTACAAAAACTGCTGAATTTGTACATTTATCATTATATGTAGAACTAAAATAGCAATCTGGAATAACAGAATTTGAGCAACATGCATTGGAAAAAATGTATCTTTATGTCTTCTCCATCCCAGTGCACCACAAACTTGCATAGTCCCGTTCATAACAAAATAGAAGGCAACAAAGACTATCGGGTGTTCGTGATTTGGCCAAACAAGGCCGCTTTTATTATATAAACTCACTATCCTAATAATTTTAACAATAATAACAATGTGGCAAATTGTTGCCTGCATTAAATGTTATGGCCTTAGGGATAAAAATTAAATATGAAATATTAAATAAGACTCATCATCCTAAAAATAATGATGTGACGATTCAGCAAAAGTTATTATTTTTAAACGATTTTTGCACAAATTTTGTTTGTGGGGTTGCAAAGAGGCCATAACCTTGACTGGTGCCCAAGCGCACTGGGCAAGGAAGACCCGCGATATGCTTCAATAAGTATTTTTGTTTCACTAAATCTTCCGTGACTGTACTATTCTTGCAATATCCATGTAACATGATCTTGTTTAGTAGAACGAAAAAGCTAATAACTATATTTACTTATCAGTTGTAGTGCCCTAAGCATAAATGAACCCCAATATTCAAGATGTGTGAAGGGTGGGGGTTGATAAGACAATTTTGTTCAGAAGACTTATAAACGGAGTCATAAATGTGAAACTCAAAGATAATTAAATAAATAGTAGGTATAAACGGTAACTTCAGTGCTAACTAAAAAATTGAATAGGTGATACGCAAGGAGCCTTATAGTGCAGTCCCCGTGACCATTATTAGAGCAAACCAGAAACTCATGGACAAATGGATTATGTCAACGGCATCTGCTAAAGCAGTAAAGAAAATAACTTACCGCATTTATGTAGCCTAATAGTCGGCAGATGTACAGCTACTCCCTGCTTGAACTTGTACTGAATCTTTCGCTGACATAATAAGCTGTAAACGTGCCGTAACGGTTCGAAATATCGAGTGAACTGCTGGAAAGGTCTCATCGAAGGAAAAGCCGATGAAATTTTCTGAACTGAAGGTTTAAGTTGAAAGTTGGAGATAACTTGTAGCTTCAATGTATCGTGCGCGACAACAGAATGAGCGCAAAATGGGTCAGGCAGTGACGTCCCATGGTATAAGTAGCAACATGTGCCTCAATTGGGACTACCCCTCTAGGTAGAATTGAGCATGTGCAGAATGCGCATGTGCGTAAATAAGCTCTGGAGATTGTTGTCGCCATAAAATTTCGTTTGACTACGCCAAACTTTCCTATATTGGAAAGGTGTCCCTAATATTGTTCCATTTCCACTAACATAGACTTTGCATTTGTAGTGATAGGTGAAAATCTGCCTTGTGACTTAGCAGCCTGTTGTGTCTGCTTCTGGCTGTGTACTGTTATCTCTGCGTTGACTCAGTTCTTCATGTTTATCACTTCCTCTACATATATGTTTCAGTTTGCTGACTACAAAAACCACCGTGCACTATTAGGGCTGATGAAATGTGCATCCAGGACTTTACTGAAGATCTCAAGTGTCAACCAGACTGAGTTGGTGATCTTCTGTGACTGCTATAATGTCTGTCATTCTGGTTGTACATGTAGCAGTGAAGAAAGCTGACTGGGATGCCACTATGTTCAGCCTGGAGACCTTGGACTTCTTTACCAAACAGGGAGTTATGCATTGTGCCAAAAGTTTGCAGATATCTGAAACTAAATTAGAACTCTGTGTTAGTCATGCACATTTTTAAAGTACTATAATGGCAGAGTACAACTAATTCTGTATGAGAAATCAGTTTCAATACTACATCTTTATTTTTAACTATGACTATGTGAAACATTGGTTTTTAAATGTGTATTATAGAATAACCCATAGCATAACATGAGCAAGAGATGTAAATAAATCGAGTATGTAGACAAGGAAAAGTTACCATTATTATAAACAAGTTGAAATACTATTGTGATAATTTTCACCCCCTTTTAATAAAATGACTGCACCAATAGTATTCTATGGGTCAGATTTATGGGGCTTCGAACTGTGTGAACCGGTGCTGATATTATTTTGAAGGAAAATTTAAAGCAATAATAACTCTTCCTTTGAGATTCAATATTCCGCAAGGAATACATTGTAAACAACGCATGGAAATATATTCTATTGCATTTTACCACTAAAACGGCCGTTATTGTAGTAAAACTAAAATCTGTGCTTGTCAATAGGGCTTTGATGCCTTTCTTCCCGGTCGTTAAGGCATCCGTTGCCAATGACGTTAGGGCGCCACGCGAATTCTCGCGTTCATTCGAGACCAAAATAACTTCTGGCGCCAAAAGCCTGATGCAATAGCAGACGTAAGTTGCGAGTTTTTGTACAGTGCGTCGGATAAAGGAAAGCCCAGAATAGCACAGATAGCACACATTGTAGATATATATGCATTTTGAGCAATAAGACGAATATATCTTATGAGTCTTATATTATTGTTATGGTGTTGTTGCTGTCTGCTTTTCCCGCGGTTTTAAGTAGGCCACCAGAAACTATCGCTTGATATCGCGTGACTATGCAATGTCACTGTCAGAGAGGGCTCAAAAAAAAAAAAAAAAAAAAAAAAACCTGGACTAACTTTGAATGCAGGAATGGGGTCACTGACCATTGGTAAGTACGAGAAAAAATTGCCGTTTACTCCAGGAAAATCCAACTTTTGGCCAAAACAAAGAGTTATTATGACTTTAAGGTGTAAAATCAAGCACTTCTGAATTAGCTATCTTAGGTGATCGCATCAGATAACCCATGGTATGCAGCTAAGAGTACAAGATAAAAAATAATAATAAATAAAATAAATAAATTTAAAAAATAATAATAAGATTAAAAAAAAATTGGAATAAACTGAGGAGAATATAGCAAACTATAAAATGCTCTTGAAGTTAGATGAGGCATGATGTATTACATGGACAACAAAAACATTTTTATATAGTTTTGTAAGTGTGTGGTATAATTAAGGCGCAGGAAATAATTTATTTTTGGATTCCTTGAACATTAGCCTGTAAGACTACAATGTTTAAAAATGTATTAAACAATTGCAAAATACCTCTAAACTGAAATCATTGTATTTTCTAAATGTTTCAGCTGAAGATGCTTTATGTATTTGTATCTGTTTTCTCTAAATTTCACTGTTCTTATCATATACTGATTATTGATCAAAGTAGACACGAAAACATTCCATAGAAAGATAAAACTATTTTATATGTAGGTCACGAGTAAAATTAATTTGCTGTTAATGCTATTATGTATGCAGTAACAGCTGTTATTGCTACTATAACTGATACATAATTGGTACTTTGTAATTTGACAAAAGCCTTGAAATACTGAAATATATATATATTCTATAACAATGTACCTTTTGAAGTGCCCTTTTGCAATTTTATACTACTGTATGTCAATGAAATGCTGGATGCAGCTTTTCCAGGGATTGCTCCACTAAATGTGAGGTTTGAGTCACCTGAAGTAGCAAAATTTACAAAGCACTGTCAACAAATTATTTTTGTATTTGTATCATGTTTCATTATAATGTAAATAATAAAAATAATAATATGTATTTATTTGCAACTTAAAAAAGTTGGATTTTACAATAAAAACAAATAGTCGTGAGATGCACAATCTTAAAATATACTTGTAAGTGTTAAAATGATTCGATACACATTAAAAATTCATAAAAAACTTAGTTCTTAAAATTTGATAAAGCCCATGGGATAAAAGTTTTTGATGATCGTACAGTCCTCAATTTTGGCACAGTGTACTTATAAACCCGGCGCAAAGTGTAGGAACTTCATTTATCTCTGGTAGCAAATGATGGATTTTGTGTCCTTCAGAGTACATGTTATGCAATAATGTTTTAGATTGTTCATCTCTTCTACAAGCAAGAGTGATAAGTTTACATGTTTCAAGTGCCCCATCGTAGGACAGCACTGGGAATATAATCTTACATGCTCTAATCTGGATGGATTCAATTTTATCAATTTGTTGTTGTGTAAGACCTGGGTGCCACACCTGACATGCATATTCTAATGTAGGTCTGATTACTGATGTATAAAAGCTTACAAGTTCATTGGTTGGAATACCCGCTCTTTTCAGAAGCTTAAGATTGTGTAGCCTTTTACTTGCTTTTTTACAAATATCACAGATGTGACCTTCCCAGCTCAAATCACTACTGATCCTAACCCCTGAGAAGACAGCAGACCCCACTCTCTCAATCCTTTGATTATCTACTAGCAAGGGTGTAGTTTTGTGTCCTTTTTT